TGTTTATGGAGGTTTTTCTCTATTGGTTGAACTCAATGAGCTTGTATCTTTTTTTTCACCCTGACTGTAACAATGTATCACACACACAGGAGAGTTATAGAGGAAGGAGCAGAGTCCTCCAGCAGAGCAGAGTATTCCAGGAGAGGAGAGTTATAGAGGAAGGAGCAGAGTCCTCCAGCAGAGCAGAGTATATCAGGAGAGGAGAGTTATAGAGGAAGGAGCAGAGTCCTCCAGCAGAGTATATATGTCATGTGGTGTCGGGCTCGGGGTGGCCCTGGGACTCATTACTGCTGATCACTTCCTCTGTGCCAGGTAATGACATTAGTTTCCCGGCTGCTCGTCCTCTGTCGGGTCTCCGGGGTCTCAGCCAATCCCAGGACAGCGCGCACACATATGTATCGCCGGAGAGCATCCGTCCCCAGTGACTGCGACATGATAATTCTGTGTATTTATACCGCACAGAGCCGCAATTCTCACCCATCGGATTGTATTTGTATAAACTTTATTGATAAACATTTTCTGTGACACTTTATTATCACGGGGGGACGGAATCGATGGATGAGGTCTAAAAATAACCCCGTCTGAGCCGCCCCTCCCCCACCCCCATCCCATAGACTGGCACTGGGAACGGTACGGGCCCATTCACACCATCACATTGCCGTAACACGCTATACCGCAAAACACATGCTAACTCACATTACATATGTTAGTTTTGCATGTCTTGTATGTATGTATTGTTTACACGCTCTCTATATATCACATGCTATGATCCGTGTGTGTATGTGTGTCTTGGTCATGTATGTATGTATTGTTTACACGCTCTCTATATATCACATGCTATGATCCGTGTATACATGTAGCGTGATGTAGGATCCGGACCCTGGTTCTATATTTATATCAGGGCGGCGGAGGGACTCTCGCGGACAAGCAGTCCCTGAGGAGTTGACCTCTGACCCCCCCAGCTGTTCCTGCATCCTTAGGGTCTCTGAAAGCCATTGTCCTCATGCGTTTGTATGTGCAGGACGAGAAGCGCACACGCGGGGTGACACACCGGACAGGTGACACAACTTTATATTTAACTTTAGACACGTCAGGATTTGTATTGTGTGCCTTTCTGGAGTTGTCACCGGCAGAACCGGCCATGACTGGTCACATGATATGCGCGGCTGCTCCTTCGTGCACATCAGCGGGAATGCGCGGCGTTCAGTGCGGCGGCTCCAGACTGACAGGGAAACACGCAGATATGGGAGCTCATCAACATGCCAACGGAGTTGTATGTCTGTACATCCAGTTCTGAGGTTTACACAGCACAGAAGACCTGATTTTTCTCTGCTGCAGTTCAGTAACACTGACAGGTCTTGTCCTTCCCCCCCCCCAGGAGAAGCAGCAAACTGATGAGCTCAGCTCTCTGTTCTCTCCTCCTATCAGCGTACAGACCGTGCCTTTAAATTGAATTACACTTTAACAATAATGCAGAGGGAAGATAGAATATAGGAAACACCTAATTTAGGGGCAGATGCTGGTAATAGGTCGGTGCCCAGAGGAGAAAATCAATTGCAGTCATTAATTGCAGAGCTTGCTGCTACACTGTGCACCATTGTCCTCTATTCGCATCAACTCTGCAGCGCCACCTGCTGGCTGGTTCCCTATACAATACTATTGGAATCGACTCTGCAGCGCCACCTGCTGGCCCTATCCCGTTACAGCCGATAGAACATTATATACATCAACTCTACATCGCCACCTGCTGGCTGCTTCCCTATACAACACTATTGGAATTAACGCTAGAGCGACACCTGCTGGCTTGTTCCCTATGCAACACTATTGGAATCGACTCTGCAGCGCCACCTGCTGGCCCTATCCCGTTACAGCCGATAGAACATTATATACATCAACTCTACATCGCCACCTGCTGGCTGCTTCCCTATACAACACTATTGGAATTAACGCTAGAGCGACACCTGCTGGCTTGTTCCCTATGCAACACTATTGGAATCGACTCTGCAGCGCCACCTGCTGGCCCTATCCCGTTACAGCCGATAGAACATTATATACATCAACTCTACATCGCCACCTGCTGGCTGCTTCCCTATACAACACTATTAGAATTAACGCTAGAGCGACACCTGCTGGCTGGTTCCCTATGCAACACTATTGGAATCAACTCTGCAGCGCCACTTGCTGGCCCCTTCCCGTTACAGCCTTTGAAACATTATAGGCATCAACTCCGCAGCGCCACCTGCTGGCTGTTTCCCTATACAACACTATTGGAATCATATCCGCAGCGCCACCTGCTGGCTGCTTCCCTATACAACACTATTGGAATCAATTCCGCAGCGCCACCTGCTGGCTACTTCCGTATACAGCTCATAGAACACTATTGAAATAAACTCTACAGCGCCACCTGCTGGCCCTTTCCCTTTACAGCCTATGGAACGCTAATTGGAATCAACTCTACAGCGCCACCTACTGGCTCTTCCCTTGATCTCTGTAAATAATACCTAAGCAAATCTGTTGTAAATATGAACATTTCATAAAGAAAAAAGAAAATTAAATGCTGCAAAGTGCTTTAGCGGATGCTGACAGACTCATGTGCGCTAAATACCATTTTTACGTTAAATTGAAGAAAAGATTTTGGAGCCGCCCGAACAGGGACTTGAACCCTGGACCCTCAGATTAAAAGTCTGATGCTCTACCGACTGAGCTATCCGGGCTCCATGGAGGAGTTAGTGGGTGAATGTCTTAAAAAGCGAAAACCAGAACGTACATCTACCTGTAGAATCAGAGCGTCCTATAGCCTGTATGTATTGATCATTGTAACATTCTATCCTTCCAGTGATCACATTATATTCTCTGTCATGGATCTCGGTACTTCGCATGTTCTATTCAGTGTACTAAATGACACTTTTCTGCCAGATACAGAGGTTACAATCGTTGAAAAATGTAACTTTTGTTGTAGGAAGAACAGTAAACCCGATTACACTTGTTACAATAGCCCGATGTCATGTATATGTAGCGCGAGGGACCTTCTGGATGCAAAATTAATGGATTGGTTCTGTGTAGGGATGAGCAAACTGGGCCGGGTTGGTTTGTGGGAGGTCGGCCAAGCCAGCGGGAAGCCTGCGAACCCCAAATTTGAATAGTGAACCCCACTGAAGTCTATAGGAGGTGAAAAGTTATTTTTTATGTCGTTTTTTTAAAGGCATTTGGAGCCGCACGTGTACCACTGACATCGCTCGGGATCCCCGTATCCCCCCGTTCTACCAGCTGGGGATACAAATGGGCAAACCGGCCACCATTGCCAGTTTGTTCGGGGGTCTGCTGCACTGCAAACGGATTTGATCCAAACCCAAATCATAGGCCTAGTTAGGTAGACCCTCACGTTACATAGCTCAGTCAGGGCCGGGTCAAGGGGTTGGCAGAAGAGGCATTCTTCCTTGGCATCATTCATCCTGGAAGAGTGCCATAGTGAAGCCACTGTACTCACTGTATATCCTCAATCTTACAAGTTGAGGGACGATGGAATTCATCCAACTTGGAAAGGAGCCATAGAGAAGCCCCTGCACTCATAGTATATCATCAGTCTTCCAGGTTGAGGGACGATGGACATTATTCAACTGGGAAGGGTGCCATGGTGAAGCCCCTGCACTCACTGTATATCCTCAATCATCCAGGTTGAGGGACGATGGACATTATTCAACTGGGGAGGGGGCCATGGTGAAGCCCCTGCACTCACTGTATATCCTCAATCATCCAGGTTGAGGGACGATGGACATTATTCAACTGGGGAGGGGGCCATGGTGAAGCCCCTGCACTCACTGTATATCCTCAGTCTTCCAGGTTGAGGGACGATGGACATTATTCAACTGGGGAGGGTGCCATGGTGAAGACCCTGCACTCATAGTATATCATCAGTCTTCCAGGTTGAGGGACGATGGACATAATTCAACTGGGGAGGGGGCCATGGTGAAGCCCCTGCACTCACTGTATATCCTCAGAGACATCATCCCACATGAAAGACTGAGGACATCTAGTGGTGGGACGGGACATTGTAGAAGTATAGAAGCGATTGGTTCCTAGGTTACCATGTGATGACGGAGTGACCTCAGCAGATACATTGGCAGACGGAGGATTTATGTTATGAGATCTTTATCTCGTCCTGCGGCCGCCCGTCTTCCGCCCAAACCCATAAAATGCCGCGTCAGCAGAACTCACACCAGCCTGGGGGGGGGGGAGGAGCCTTGTTCTACAGACACTTCAGTGACACGCGTTCAGAAATAATAACCGTTTTTATATAAACACATAAAAAAATATATTTTAAAAACAACAATAATGTGAATGTGACACAGGAGTATAAAAATACAAACACTTCACATACACAGTAACAGGGAGGGGGGAGGGGCTTACAAATGACAGGTTCACTTTAATACCCCCCTTCCTCAGCTGCACATACTCATATTTGCTTTGCTCCTCTGTGCAGTGTCCATGAGATATAAGAGGACAGTCTGATGCGGGGCGGAGCCAAGCGCTAGGCAGAAGAAGAGGCGGCCACATTGGGCACTTCAGTGGGGAGCAAAAAAACGGTCTGACCTGTAGGCACCATGGACGTAGAGATGTACATTGGATTGAACAGTCACTTGCACCAGTGACTCTAGGCTGCCCTCTGCAGGAACCCGGGAGAAGAACAGCGACACCACTGCCAGCGGCCCGGCTGCAAAGGATTCTGGGATTCGAGGGACGACATTCGAGGACACGGCTGCTTCACTTGTTTGACATTTATGAGATGGCTCCGCCTCCCATCCTCGTCACCGCAGTTTAATCTCGAAGCAGATGCAGTTGATGGCGGTGCAGTCGGGGGGCTGGTAGACGCAGGCGAAGCCGCAAGGGCAAGGGGAGACGTCACGGCAGCCGGAGCATGTCTGGGGGAGAAAAAACCAGGAGGGGGAGGGGAGATATCATGAGCAAAGCTGTCATAGGCTGAATCACCTACATCATCCGTGTGCAGAACTACAAATCCCAGCAGAGACATATGGGCGTTGCCATTGCTGACTTGCTTTATAAGGCGGAGCCTCCTGGGCTGTCATTCACTGCCCCCGGGACAGGCCCCAAAGGGTCATTCACTGCAGGTGAAAAAACACGTGCACCAGAAAGACTAACCTGCAGTGAATGTTTGGTGAATGTCACATCCTGGGGCCACCATTAGAGCCCCATGCAGCCCTCCTGAAGGCCCCCCATCCCCAGTGTACCCCCATTAACCCCCTCCATGCCCGGGGTTATACGTGATAGGACAGTAGGAGGAGCGGAGTCCCGAATGACGGCGGATGGGGTACGGCGGCGCACTCACCGGTTTGGAGGGACAGCAGCTGTCCATGCACTGGGTGACCGTGGGGACTCTGCAGTCACATGACTGGGCGCAGCTCTCGCAGGCATCGCAGAAGCCCCAATCGCCCACTTTCTGCCACCCCATACAAGACGGGCAGCAGCCCTGAGCCTGGCGACAAAGGAAGAAGAAGGAAAAACATTTTTTTTTAAAAGGACCAAAAAAAACATACAAACAGTCACATGACTCGACTCTCCACCCGCTGTCAGGTCCTAGAACCCCCTGAGAGGACACCCACACTCTAGGGGGCGCTGCTCCTCGCCCTGCAGGCGGTGAAAAGGGTTTATCGAGATGTTTTAGAGCCGACTCCGGCACTCCAGCTGGGGGGGGGGGGGGGAAAATACAAAATC